AATACAAAAAATTCCAGTTTTCCTCCTGATCTCATACTACACAGAACATAACAACGATGCATAGGTGAGAAATGGAGATCCACAAGGGTAAAGTCCATTTGCGGATTACAGCTGTAGATTGTTGGTTCTCCCACGGGTACTAAGATAAACATATTCACTTTTCCATTAATCTCTTATTTAACCCGCTTCACCCCAGTAAAATGCTATTCAGAAGTTGGGCTTGTGCTTCTTGACCTCGACCATGAGGTGGTGAAGATTGATGAGCTCTGAGCGAACGGCCAGGCTGCGGAAAGTGGGCTGCGAGAGGACCTTGTGGAAACCATGGTAGTACTGGATAAGCTGAGTCAGCGCCCCCTGGTGGACAGACACATAGTTAAAAAAACACAGGATTGCAGTAGCCTGCAGAATAATCTTAAAAATAAAAGATTGATGTTGGTGACAACAGGCAGAGTGAGGAGCCTCCTTTGTCCAATTCCTCATGAAAATGGCTGCTTTCGTTACTAGGGTTAGAAAATTCTGGGAATTTTCAAAGCTGGAAACTTTCCATGGGGCTTAAGGGAAATATATGGAATATATGAAAATTGACAGGAAAATATGTGAATTAATGGAAATAAACTGGAAATTTGCAAATTTGCAGGTTAGCCTATAACAGGGAACATAAATGTAATTGAAAAAAAATCTTGATGGCATTAATAGTGATATCATTGTGTAACCAAATACTTGTAATTATGCGTGTAAAAATACCACAAAATAAGCACCTGCATCAAAAGACACTGTTTAAAAGTCATATTCTACGTTGTATTATTCATACAGTTTGCTTTCTTTGCAGTATCTGACAGCCCGTGCAGACTTCCACCGAGTTCAATATTTCCAAAATTCCCCAGCTTAAATTCCCATGGAAAGTTTCTAAAAAGATTCTGGAAATTTACAGGAAATTTTCCACCCCTGTGCAACCCTATTTGCAGCACACAACAGATATAACTGGTCATAAGTAGGAGGAGATGAAACTCGCTGTACATGTATCATTGATCACTTTGTGATTGGTTTTATCTTGCCAATTTCTTTAAAGAAAGACTTTTTAAATGTCTTTTTTGTACACACACGACCCTATTATGGATAAGCACTTTGGTAAGATGTACAGCATGGTATATGTGGCTATCGATATTTTTATGATCTTCTATAAGATTTCAGCAGAGGCTTTGGAAAGGACCTGTATGATGCTGGTGCCGTTCTTAAAGTTGGTGAAGGACCTCATGACGTCCTGGCTGAGAGCTTCCACAGACTGCTTCCAGGTGCTGGAAAAGCCCCTGATCAGCTGGGTGATGCGGGCTGGGCCGGAGCAGGGAGGGGCCATGCAGGAGAGCCGAAGAAGGCGTGTGAACAGGAGCGAGAGGGTCGACATCATCATCTTATTCATTAATCAACACGGTGTAGGAGTTCATGCCAGCGACAGCGAGTTACTCCATGTGCCACCTGCCTTCCCGGCCTTACCTTCATCATTCTTCAGCCTGTCCA